TCCCGACGGCCACGGGCTGAGGATGAGCCCGGAAAGAGGGGCTGTGGGGCAGACGAGGATCCGGGTTCCCCAGATCCTTTGATGCCAACGCTACAACTGATGAAAAGGTCCGAAGAGGAGGTATTTTGGCTATTTCTTTCTTTCCAAGTGTAGCTCAGGCCAAGCAGGACTGGGAGGACAACAGAGAAGTGCTGGGAGCTCGGAGTCCCGGCTTGGGACGTGGGAGAAGCAGGGGCTGGTGCCCCAGCGCCCCGCAGCCCCTCCGTGCACCAGAAAGGTTTACGTGGGGCAGAACCACGACAGAGTCCAGAGGGACTTTTTAACCATGGAATGAGCCACCTCCAGACTGGAGGAAGGGGCCAAATTCTCAAGCGGGCTCCGGGCAGGACCCTCACCAACACGGGGGGAGGCAGAGGATGAAGCATTTTGACTTCACAGGCTCTTTGGGACACGGGGCACCTTCTGGATCTCCTGCCAGGCCAGGGCCCTGCTGCACCTGGGGTGTGTGTGCACACACATATAGATACACTGGGATAGAACAGGTATAGAACATATATACGCTGGGATATTCCATTTCCAAAGGTTCAGATCTTCCTTTGGCCAGGAGAGCGCCAGTGATGGGAGCAGAAACACGAGAGCCGTGAGGACCCACAGGAGGACGCGTCTATTTACTGATCCTTATCATGGGTTAATAATTCACCTTCTTGGCTCAGCGTTTCAGGTGACCCTTCCAGGGCCCACCCCGAGGCAGTTCCCAGCAGGGACCCCTGAGAGCTGCTGCAGCCCGACAGGATGCCAGGAGGGGCCCAACCAAGCCCGGATGAGCTGGAGCAGAGGATCCCAGGGCCGTGGCTCAGGGAAGGGGCAGCCCACCTGCAACCCACGAAGTTATTTCCAAGTCACGTTCTGCTGCTGTTTGATCTCCGAGCCAGGCTCGTGTCTGGCAGATGAGCCCAGGGCACCCACTTCGCTCCCCCAGTCCCTGCCCGGCTCACCGAGTCACACCGGCGTTCCTGCGTGTGCACACCCTGCCAACCCCTCGTGCGCTGAGCGCACACCCCACGGCCCTCCATGGCTACTACGGCTTTCCAAGAAAGATGTGTTTTCCAAGGCTGTAGATGTGTTTTCCAAGGCTGTAGATGTGTTTTCCAAGGCTGTGTGGGTAGAACCATAGAACGGGTTGGGGTGGGAGGGGCCTCCAAGATTCACTA